GACTGTTATTTTTGTTCCTGTAATACTTCAGGTTATAGCTCAAAGAACATAAAAAGTATCGTATATCCAAAAGTGTCATCAGTAACTTTCCCTGTACCAGTTTCAGAAAGTAGAGTTAGTTCACGTCTTCAGATTGAGTCATCTGATCATGATGAAATACAAGATGAAGCAAGTCACTCACAAGAATCTGTGAGTAACTTTGAAAAAACTGATGAGGAAAAGTATGAAGCTGAAAATGTACCTGAAGAAGGAAAATTTAACCAAGATGAGTTAAGTGACTTAATTCGAGATTTAGGGCTTTCAAAAGAGAATGCAGAGTTGTTAGCCTCAAGATTAAAAGAAAAACAATGCTTAACCAAAGGAACAAAAGTTACATTTTATCGTGATAGAGATCTGCCATTTAGGAGATATTTTTCTAAAGAGAACAATTTAGTTTTTTGCAATGATGTGAAGGGTCTAATTAATGAATTTGAATCTATAAATTACGATGCAACTGATTGGCGACTTTTTGTGGATTCATCAACAAGAAGTTTCAAAGCAATTTTATTAAACAATGGCAATGAATATGCTCCTATTCCAGTTGCACATTCTACAATTTTGAAAGAAGAATATGAAAGTCTAGAATTTCTTTTAAAAAAATTGAAATACGACGAACATAAATGGTTGCTATGTGGAGATTTAAAAATTATAATTTTAGGATTTTTTTAGGACAGCAAACTGGTTTTACGAAGTACCCATGTTTTTTGTGTGAGTGGGACAGTCGTGCACGGGATAAGCATTATGTAAAAAAAGATTGGCAATGTAGAAATAATTTTGAGATAGGCTCTAAAAACATCTTGAAAAAAAATTTATTACCAGTTGAAAAGGTTTTGCTTCTACCACTCCACATCAAACTAGGTTTGATTAAACAATTTGTGAAGGCCATGAAAGTGCAAAATAGCGTTGCTTTTAAATACCTGTTTGAAAAATTTCCAAAATTGTCTGATGCAAAAATAAATGCAGGAGTATTTGATGGTCCACAAATTAGAGCTTTATTTAGTGATGAACATTTTGAAGAAATAATGACGGATACAGAAAAGGAAGCGTGGCAAAGTTTCAGAGAGATAAGTATAGAATTTTTAGGCAATAAAAAAACTCCAGGATATAAAAAACTTGCAGAAAGAATGGTAACAGCTTTTCAAAAGATGAATTGCTTGATGAATTTAAAACTCCATTTTATGGACTCACATATTGAATACTTTCCTGAAAATTTAGGTAATTTCAGCGAAGAACAGGGTGAAAGAATGCATCAAGACTTAAAGGACGTTGAGAAGAGATATCAAGGAGTGTGGGATCAAAATATGCTAGCGGACTACTGCTGGGGCTTAAAGCGCAATACTAAACTGCGTCATAAAAGGAAATCAATTCGTAGATCTTTTAAAACAAAAAAAACGCGTTACTCTACTAAACGAAATTAGAATAGTTGTATATTAAAAAAAATAAAAAATAAAAATACAAAAAAAAA